GGGCGGGGGGTGTCTGCTGAGATCTGTATAAGTTAAGCATCCATGTAATATCAGAACACTGCATTTGGAATTAAACCTCCTTTCCCCATAGTCATGATCTGCAGCTCCTCCACAGGGAGCCCAGATCCCTACAGCCTCCACCATGAGCTTCCCGTGAGTCAAGGATTGATGTTTCAGATGTCAGGAAGCTGCGGTAGGTGTACATAGATCACAACTCCTTCCTTTGTCCCAATAAAAGGAGACTAGGAAGGGTGCAGAAAGCCAGGTGGGAAAGGAAGAGCAGGAAGAGGAGGGGAGGCAGCAGTAGCAGCAGGAGAGTCCCCATGGCACTGTCTGACCCTAGCAAAAACTGACCTTTTTGGGTGAGGAAGAAAGATGAAAAGCTCTGGATGACAGGTGGGAATGGGATATAGAGAGAGGCAGCCCTCAGAGACAGGCAGAAGGTGGTAAAGGATGAGGCGGTAGGGAGCCAGGCACCACGCAGATGCCCTGGGACAGCCAGGAGCACTGCCAGCATGGATGGCTGACTGCACAAGCAACCATGGAGTGAGGAAAGAGAAAAGAGGACTTCTGGCAGTGGGTATGCAGCTGTGCAAGTAGTCTCCCCAACAAGCACATTAGCCTGCAGAACCTTCTCCCCTGCTAGCACGGGGGGATGTGCTCTCTCATGGGTCCACTTCTGCCTGACCATAACAGGGTTTGCATCTATCCAGTGTCTATCAACGCTGAACTTCATAGGGTTTGCAGTGGGTCCCCATCCTGAAGAAGATCAAAGCACTCCCTTGCCTGCCTCCAAACCACCCACAGAGAGCATCCTGAGCTCTCAGCAGTTTAACATTTTTCTCATCTGGGGAAATGTCACACTGCCCAGACTAGAAGGGCCACAAAATTGTGGATGCCTGGATCTTTAATATACAAAATCAGATTTCTCACCAACCACAACCATAAGCACATGGCAGATTTTCAAGGTATGTAGCTTGCTAAGTGACACCTGCAAAAGGGCCCTTAGAGGCAAAAGGGAGGAACAGAAAAAAACTGTAATCCCATGCCTTCTTCAAAACTCATTTAGCAGGTTTTTCAGAGAGTAGCACCTTGAACTTGGCAGTTGTGGTTTTTCTTCATTAACCCAAGGCAAAGAATACCAACAAAAGACTATTTCTGCATGCCTAGACTGTGAAAGATTCATAGGAAAAAATACAAGCCACTGATGTGATTCAAGTATTCAAGATTTAAGTAAAAGATTTAAATAAAATATATTCAAGTTCTAAGAAGCACACATTTTCTTAAGTCAGCTGAGGTTATATAATAAACTGCAGGAAAGGTCATTTATTAACATTCAAGTTCATCAGTTTGTGCTCAGACTAAAGATGATGCCTCCATCTGTGAGGGACACAATGCTTAAAGCAAAGAGATGAGGTAGATGCCTAAGTAGGAGCTGGCAAGGTTGCGTTGCTTTCTTGAGTTTCAGTCATCAATTTCGAGGTCTCATTTCCTACAGCTAAAGACTGACCAAATTCTCTTCAAGCCTCTTTTCCTTATATGAGTATTTGAAAAATTTACTCTCCATCATGGGAAAGGCTGACTGTCTGGGAAGCACGTGTATCAGCATGCAGAAATCCCTATAGGTATGTGCTATACATTCTTGCTTTCAGAGAAGACTTTTCTATGAAAATGCCTAACAAACTAGCTTAGCAGTAGCTCAAAAGCAATTTTCAGAGGCATCTTCCTTCTACATTTGGAGGTTAAAAACTGACATACTTTCCCACATCCATCTCTGGACAGTGGCACTCCCCTAGGCTTGAAACAACTCACAAGGAGGACTATACTGATATTTTAGACAGTTTAAAATAAACAACAGCAACAGCCTAAATATGCTTAGCTGGGAAGTAAGACCACTCTACTCATTCACATCAAGAAAAACTTCATCAGATGCAATACAGAGAGTGTAAATTTCTGAGATCTTATTCTACAAAAAAAAAAATCACTGGGAGAAAACAAAAAGAATATAGTTCTTTTCCTGTTAAAAAAAGATAAGCAATTGGTGTGAGAGGGAGAGAGACCTGGCAATCTGCCTTTCTGCAACCTTCCTGCTGATGAACTAGGGGATGAGCACAGGACAGTGGGTCATGGATGGTGGTGAACAGACTTAGTGCACTTAGACCATGTCTATTCTGACTATTTAAAGTATACAGACACACACATAAAAAAAGAGATTATATAAGCAACAGTGGAATTTCACAACTGAACCCAGGTGATGCTGTCCTGTTAATGTCTCACTGCTACTTTTTCTTGAATTAGGAGCAAGTTTTTGAAGATGTTAAGACCTGGTGCCTGTCATCAAGTACTTACGTAGTCATCCTCATGCAGACCTTGCTTCTGAACAGAACTTTTCACCTCCAGGGAAAACTTCTCAAACTCAGGCTTCACGGTCCTCAGCAGAGTGACGGTCTGGAGGTATGAGTATGCCTTCTTGGCTTCAAGGTCATGTTTGTCTCCTCTTCTCCATGAGCCATTTCCTAAGGGGAAAGCAAGCATATTTCCAACGCCAAATTAGGTACCATTACAGGATTGCCTTCCTTTTCCCACCCAGAAGTCCGCTCTCCTGCACCCTGGGGAGATGGCAGAGTACAGGGAAAAACTGAACCTGCTCCAAGATGTGCAGTGAACTGGGCAGGGAGGAATTGGTGGTGGGAAGTAAATGTGCAAACAGACGACAACTTTACTCCCACGCTGTGCTTGCTTATTTTTAAAGGGTGGAGTGAAGTCTAAGCACGAGAAGACATCTCAGAGCAAAAAAAAGAAGTGCCAGATCTCAAACACAGCGATATTTAAGTTAGAACAAATGAGGAAAGATTTGACCACAACGTTTTTGTTATGCATCACTCCACCAGCAACACTCCTGGACAGTCAGTAAGGCACCAATAAAGTCAATAGTATGATCATCACCCTGAATGCGAGGCAGTTGGTGAAGTTACTTCTCCCACTGAGGTCAAGGAAAAAACCATGTGTGCAGTGATCGTCAGACCAGCCTACTCTTGGTGGAAAAGAAACACTTAGAAATAACATGGGATCCTGCGTCTATGCTTATTCACGCGTGTTTTGTATCACAGCAGGGGACCAATATAACTCGATATGCTGGTTTTGACTAGGTTAATTTTCTTCACAGTAGCTAGTATGGAGTTATGTTTTGGATTTGTGCTGAAAACAGTGTTGATAATACAGAGGTGTAATTATTGCTGATCAGTGCTTACACGGAGTCAAGGCCTTTTCTGGCTCCTCACACCATCCCACCAGTGAGTAGGCTGGGAGTGCACAAGAAGCTGGGAGGGGACACAGGTGGGACCCAACTGACCCAAGGGATACTCCAGACTATATGACATCATGCTCAGCCATATAAAGCTGGGGGAAGAAGCAGGAAGGGGGGGACGTTTGGAGTGATGGCATTTGTCTTCCCAAGTAACTGTTACGCATGATGGAGCCATGCTTCCTGGAGATGGCTGAACACCTGCCTGCAGATGGGAAGGAATGAATGAATTCCTTACTTTGCTTTGTTTTCATGTGCAGCTTTTGCTTTATCTATTGAACTGTCTTTCTCTCTACCAACAAGTTTTCCCACTTTTCCAATTCTCTGTCCCATTCCACTGCAGGGAAGTCAGCGAGCAATTGTGTGGTGCTCAGTTGCTGGCTGGTGTTAAAGCATAACACTCAGACCACCAGTAATCAGATTTTTTAAAAGCTGAACAAACTGGTTGTTAATTAGCAGAGAAGTTCTACTGCCTAACAGGGCCTGACCTTAGTAGGTGTTGAGACCCTGACCCAAAGCTTCAAGAGATTAGTGGAAAGGTTCACATTGTCCTGGAGCAAGTTTTGTGCTATTCTACATAAATTACAAGTAACAGTCCTAGAGGGAACAATAGTAGCCTTAAGCAGTGTGCCTTAAAATGCTTACAAATAATTAAAAACTGGACAGTCATTTTATTTTTCAAGCAACTAACCCCATCATGGCTAAATGAGCCAAGATGAAGAATAATGCTAAACTCCCAAAGGTGACCCAGATGCACATGGGACCCTGATATGAGAGAGGATGTGGCTGCTTTGCTCGGGTCAAGGACCATGGTGTCATTTGGACCAAGAGAAGTGGTTTGGGAGTGGAGATGCTAATGGAGATGGAGCCCAGGTATCTAACCCATGGTGCTCCTTGCACAGCACTACCTGCTGCATTGCATGTCTGCAAGAGCAAATTCATGGACAGACCACCTCAGTCCCCTCAAATCAGGTGAATACAGAGCCTATGTTTTGTCCTCCCAGTACCCCCAGCACTGCTGCTGGGATTTTTTTTTTTTTTACAGGAGTACCTGGGCCCTTTTATCTATCTTTTTGTACCCCGGGAAAGCTTTATTTACCACAGCTCAGCACCAGCTAGGACTGTAATCTTTATAAATACCATGAACATTGCTAATCCTTAAATCTTATCTTTTTCCTTCCCCCCCCACTTCTTTTTCTTTTTTTTTTTTCTTTTTTTTTTTTTTATTTAAGTGATTTCATTCCATTAGGAAGAAGATCCGGATGCCTTGGTTTAGGAACTTCCTTCCCAGTGCAAAGTTTACCCAGTGAAATTACTTACACTAGGACCCTATTCATCAGACCTGACGGAAACAATGGAGAGCAACTAACAGCCCACCATCTGGTTTTGCCCTCAGAGGTAGCACTCCTCCCTTCAGTGCCTGCATCTTGTCCTTGTTACTTCTTTCAAAAAAACAGAAAAGCACATCTGGCAATTGTAAACTAGCATGTCTTGCTAGTTTCCCCACAAGAGGGTACAAGTCCTGCCAGAGCCTCAGAACTGAAAAGCCTCTGCCTCAAAGAGAGGTGCAGCATTCAAGAAGTAAGGCAGCGACTACAGAATGGAGGGCTTTGCTATAGCTTTGCATTTACAAATGGGGTTGCCTAAAAAAAGTGAAGATTATAGACCAAAAAAATTGTAGCGTTGGAACAATGTGAGTAAGTTTTTGCCCTGGACACTATACACTTTTATTTTTAAAAATCCTGAGACTGGGAGCAGGGAAGGTACACTTGCATAACAGCGTTCCTAGAATAATTTACATATTTAAATTCCTTCATGGATTATTTTGCAGGAGGTTGTCTTGCCACAGTACTTATGTGCAATTATTGCAGCCTTGACATTTAATACGCCTGCTCTTCTGAAAAATTAGAAATATTCAGAACAGAGGGCAACAACAAACTGCAGTGTGGTCATCTAGACTTAAAGGCAAAGTGCCAATTTGCCAATCACACACACTTTAGTATCTCCAGGCACTGAGAATGAGGAATTTTGGGGGAATTTCTCTATATTTCTCTTTTATGCTTGCTTTCCACATGTAATGACCATCTGCACACAAGTCAACTTTTGATGCACAGTCATTTCACTCTGCATGCGAAACACATCCACAAAGAAACAGAAAAATTGGTTTAAAAGAATTATTACTTAGAAATGTCAGGAAATGCCACATTCTAACCACACTGCAACAGAAGATAGAAAATTTTCATTAATCCCTTGGAAAAACTACAAGAAGGCTGGACCACCTGTGATGCAAAGGAGGATGGTGCTGAGGCTCCCACGACTGCAGGGCAAACGGGTGTTGCCCCCATCACTGTGCTGCACAAAGGTACCATGCCATCATGGAACAGCACTAACCTCTACACACCTGAACAAAGTGTTTGTCTACTGGGGGCTGTATCCCTGGGGAATACCCATCCCACATCAGCTGTGATGCCAGGGTCCCTCCTGGGGAAAGGTACTGAGCCTGGGGATTGCAACACTGCCTCCTGCAACCGCCCCTACCTCCTAGCAAATACCACCCTGGAAAGGAAAACCACTCCAAAATGCAGCAGCCCACCTCCTGCAGCTGCTGCTCTCACGTGAGCATCCCCTGCTCAAGGGGAACTTTGAGTACCATCTGTCCCAGCCAGCTTCAGTGCTTCTCAGATAGTCACCCAGCACTCATTTCAGCCAAGGCAAGGAAACCATCAGTTGTAGGGGATGATTCATCTGAGCCACTGCGGACACCCAAGGATAAGGTGAATTGCTGTCCAGGGGTGCCAACTTCTCCCTGGTGACTCCTAAGGGAGCCCAGCTCACACACAGGCTGTACCTATGGCCAGATGAATCACTTCTAACGCATTTCTATGCTGTGAGATGAAATGCAGCAGAAGTGCAGTGGTAACAAGCCACTGCCGCAGCCAGAGAGGCTATTCAATCAGTGGTTTCTAGTAAAGTCAAGGCTGCAAAGCTCCCAGGGTCTACAAAGAGCCAAAACTTCAGGGTTTTGAGTCTGCTTATATGGGTAGACCTTCAGCTTTGTGCTCTGGTCCTGATTAAGGCTACAATGCCAAATGGTTTTGCTTATGCCACAAGGGATCCAGTCACTGCAAATTCAACTCAACAAAAAGAAAACCTTGATTCAAACCATTGACTTTGATCTTGTTCTGCAACTTTATCTTTTAGTTATTTATTTCCTGGCAAAATTTGGCACTTCTTCAGCTAACCTAGACAATACATGTAGCGGTATATGTACTCCTGTACACATCTTTATCTCTGAATTTAAACAGCTACATACATTCAGCATAGAGCTCTTCCACAAACAGCACTGTTTACTATGAAATAATCTTAGAGGTGGTAGATGGATAACAAAGTTTATGCAAAAACTTACAAATAACTGATTTATAAAACAAAATACATCATACTTTTGTTAATTCAGTTGTTCCTGTTAATCAGATTTTTGAGGCTTGAAAGAAAGAAAAAAAACAAGTTTTCCTTCTCTCAGCTCCCACTTGGTTTTAAATCTGAAATGAATTTGTTATTGCAGTGGATTAGTTAAGGCAGCCTGCAGGGGGGAAATTATTTTCTCTGCACCTGCAAAAGAGGCTGCTCCTTTCAAAAGCCATGTTGACACTTCAACAAAACCTAGTCCCCAGGCATGAACTTGCCTTAGCTCCAATCCATCTGATTGTTCCAGTATGACATTGAGTTTAACTGAGCTAGCTGTAGCAGCTGAGTGCAAGTTTAGTCCTTACCAGGAACTGCCATAATATCAAATGCAACTGAATGTAAGTATATTTCAAAAAGCAAATGTATTTAGTTTACATTTTAAAGTCATGCTTTAATTTGACAAATCTGATCCTTTTTACTCAGGGGTGGAATTAGCCACTTTAATCCACCCTGCTCTAGTAAATTTGGACTGTCCATGTCCCACCCAGTGCTCTCCCTTCAACACAACACTGCTGAATAGTTTTTGCAGGTGCAGCTTCTGATCAAAAGCTGAAACAAATTAAACTTGTGGATCCAGCAGCACAGAGATGATTTCTGGAGACCCAGGACCTGCAGCTGCCCTATGGTGCTGGCCATTGCTAGTGCCTCCTTCCAGCCAGGTATACCCCCGCCCTGAGATCTGGCAGTCACGAGGCTGGAGATGGTGCAAGCCACCTACAGCTGAGCACACACTGCAGCATGGGGCACCCAGACCAGGCTGCCGTAACCAATGTCTCCATCTGGTTCTGCTTTCCCCTGCAAATAACTAAATAATGCCTGCAGTGTATCTGGGATCTTGTAAGCTATGAGATCTGTTTTATTTCCTTCGATATCATAGCCCAGGTGGAAGTTAACTGCAACAACAGGGAGAGACAGTGGTGTATTCTGGGACTGAGTGCTGCATATTTTGAGGCTAACAAACCTAAAAATAATACCAGGCTTACAGAAGACTTTGCAACATACTTGGGCAGGAAAAACATTACCAAATGATGAGCTGTTGAAGAGTTCAATATTGAAAAAAGCGTAGTCCCCGTTGGTCATTCCTTGCCGATGAGCAGCCAACATGATGTTCCTGATTGTGTCACCGCTGGCACACATGATTACAACTGGTGGAAGAAAATGAGAAACACAGATAAGCAGTTCAAGAACTTCAGGGAACAGACTGTTAAGCATGAACACTGCCAGACACAGTGACCCCAGCTGTCCTCCCAGTGTTGCAACAAACATGACAACGCAGATGGCAAACAAAGCTGATTTCCCAAACAGCTGACAGCAGACAGGTACCCAACACAGAGATGATTCCTCCTTCCTTGGCTCCTCTGAAAATAATTAAACAGAGCTGGTGTGTGAGCTAAGATTTTTACCCCTGCAACATGTGATAAGTTCTGCCTTCAAATTTCTTCGGCTGCATATATTCGTAGAGTCAATCGCAATCACAAGCCTCCGTTGTTACTTCTAAATGGATAGGAGAGAATCCGAGGATGAAGAATTCAGGTGATACAATGACATTACCATTTTCATTTCCACTCCATTGAAGAATCTGATGTAGATTCATCTTGCCTACCCCTCATCTATCTAAAATTTAGGAATCTGGTCTAGAATTTGTTGCCTCTCCACAGTTAATGGAGAGCAGCATCTCTGCAGTTGTCTAAGGACAGTGGTATGAATCTGCCCAGAACATGACCTTCTCTCCAGAGACTATAAAATAAGCTTAGGCAATGACCTTTGATGACATACTTAATATTCAGAAATGGGACAAGCAAGTGCCTCTTTCTGAGGGTGAAGATTAAAAGTAGCTGCGAGATTAAATGCCACAGAGCCTCATTTATCATATACCACGAGCTAAGCAGGGGCTCTGCTGCTACAATGGGACCTACAAACCTGCCGGTGTGCTCCATGTGGGCACCATGATCTACACTCTGACAACTGTGGTTGAGAGGTCTCTTACCCAACCTGCTGGGAAGGGGGGACTACTCCCCTTGCTGCCCCTCTCCTCTGCAAAGGGAAAGCAGAAACTCCGGTGAGACCTTCAGCAATGGGGAGACAGCTCCCACACTGAGCACATTACACTAAAAACTTTCAGACAGGTTCACAAGACTATGGGTATGAATCCACTGACATCAGAGCAAGCAGCGAAGTACTGCACCAGTGCGTGCTTTGGAGCTATATCCCACAGCAACAGTCATAAGAGATCCTGTTGGGACAATGATTTGAAACCAACTGCACGCACGTTTCCAAGAACACCGTCACGCATGGCAGGGCTCAAAAGCTACAACAATGTACGCAAATATTTTCACCACAACAATAAAACTGAATCAAAACCACATTCAGCTTTTCTGGGTAGAAGTGTTTGCTATTAGAAAAAATGAAAAGGCCAAACAGGCCAAATCTTTTTACACACAATGAATCTTTTCCCATCACTTTTCTGGTTGGATGCCACCACAGGCATAAAGCTCCAGATGCGCTGCCGGGGTGAGTCACACTTGGTACATCCCCGTGCTTCAGGAGAGTTATACCATGCATAGCTCTGTCCTACTGATTATGGCAGAGTAATGTAATAATTTCCAGAGCAACAGAGAAAGACATATTTCACTACCATTGTGAAGTATATTAGCATGAAGGAAAAGAAGAAAGAAAAATTTCTCACAGTAAAATTTGAATCAAATCTTTTCCAGATGCACATCAGGAACAAGTTTGTCTCCCTGTTCCTAATTTCAGGATAGGTGAGAGATTTCCTTTTGAAACATTTCCTTGCTGTCCTCCCAATTCTCCCTTGACTTCACCCTTATAATTCACATCTATCATGAAATCGTAATCTGTAGATGGAATCAAAGAGACTCCCACAACACCACTAAAAGACCTTGAGCAAAAGAAAAAAAAAAGTGGGGGAAAAAACCCTACTTTAAAATACATTAAATCATCTTTTGTAAGCCTCTAAAGGAACATAAGGGAAGTAATAGTAACTATTTGGATGTGGTTTTTAACCCAGCAGGAGAATAAAGACTACATATTTTAGGATTCTGAAGCAAATAAACTATGGACATGTCTCTGCAACCTTCCAAAAATGTAAATTATGTGTATTTAATCTGCATCTGTACCTTACTATTGTGTACATACAAATATGTACGTGCAAACACATGCAAAATGTTCTCCCTTCAGTATAATACATGCAGACCACAGTAATTCTAACACTAATATTCTGAATTTATTGACTAGGATTATTGACTCATCCTGCAAATACTTAAGAGTTTAATTCCAGTTAAAGGAGTAAGCCTTCCCTTTACTACATGCATCCCTTGGACTACGTGCCTATGCAGAACATATTTAAGCACAGTCCTGGGTTTGCGATCATTATGGTAAACATATCATGCGTACAGCATCACGTCTGCAGCATGGCTAACCAAACCTACAAGGGAGCCTGAATTACTAACAAAATTCATTAAAGACTTTTATCATTGTATTTTTCATCACGAGTTTGTTGTGGCTCTAAGACTTGAGTCTTTTGAAGCGGCTCCAGGGACTGAACAGGCAGCCACTGGCAAACACGGGTGCATGGTTGAGCGTGCCCCTGCTGCCCGAACTCCCAAGAGCTCAGTGCACACCCCCAGACAGCATCAACCTAAGCCATGGGGCCAGCCTCTGCCGCGGGTCCCCACCAGCCAGCTGGTAAGGCAGCTTCTTTCTCATCCCTGGGAGAGTGTCAAGCCCACTCCCAGTTGGGCAGCTCAAGGAAGCCCAACCACTCAGGTGGGACCACCACCAGCAGCAATCTCTGGAAACAGAAAAGGTGCAGGGTCAGAGCCCAGGACAGTGTCATGGTAGGTGTGACACAAGAGCCCTTAAAAACTGCTGAGAAAACCAACCAACCAAAACTGTTTCTACAAGGTGCTCTGGGCTGTGCCTCAACACCTGCAAACCCTGCTGCCCTGCTGGGGAGACCTCCAAGGAGACTCCAGGAGAAACAAAGACCTCATCTGGTCAACTAAGGCACATGGTGCATTCTTCACTTGATATATGACTTCTATATACTGTGACAACCTGAAAGATGCTGTGAGCACAAGGATCACCCCACGGGCCCAAAGGAACATGCCAAGTGAGTCCCGCAGTCAGTCTTTACAGTCCAAAAGACACAAGTGAAGACAGAAGGGCCCCACTGGCTGCATTTTGCAGTAGTGACATGAGCCAGAGGACAAGGGAAGAGGGGAGATGGAGGGAGGGACACCACAGGGTGTAAGGGAGGGGAAAAGAAGTAACACAGAGGGCTGCTTTTGTTCAGTCATTTGCAAGTTACAGAATGATGCAAGACCAAAAGTCTCATCTCAGCAAAGCACTTAAGCCCAGTCTGAAGGCAAGCCTCTCTTCCTCGACTGTCTGTGCAGACTGAAGAGTGGGGCTGTCTTTAGCCATCAGTCACGTTCCCGCAGCACAGCCACAGCTCCCTTTTCCTGCTGTAAGCATGCTGTTATGCTCTTAGCATCAGGGAAGCCAAATACACGCACACACACACAAGTTACACTGATTAAAAAAGAAAAGCATCTTTCCCCACATAGCATTTTCCTCTAATACCCATTTATTTCTCTCCATTCAGTGTATTTCCCTGAATGGTACTTACTAGGAAAGCTCTATTTCAAGCACCTGCTTCGGTGAATAGCAAATTAAAAAAGCACATGCTATTGGACCTCGGTTATCTCACACACACTCCTGCACACGTTAAAGATTTCAACATCAACATCAGCGGTGCAAGGCTGCTCCGTGCGCAGCCTATGGCACCATAACACCAGCTGTGCCGGTCACGCACGGCATGATCTTCATCAGTCCAGTTTTGATGCTATTTAACATTCGGCAGTGAGGGATGAAAAACTTGTACAAAGCACTTTGCACATCTATGCCTCTTCCGGAAAACTGCTAAGGGCTTTCTTTAACTTCATCCTGGCGTCCGTTCCTGGAATACACCTTTTCCTTTTTTTGCAGTAACTTACTGGGGAAGCCTATGGCACTAAGAGCCTCTAACAGAAAATTTTCTTTTTGGTAAGCCCACGTATCCGCACATTGCTCAGCGAGATCTCACTTAAAAACACATCTAACGACAAATCTGCATGTCCCAAAGCACTTTGAGCATTTTACTACTTCATGATGCAGAGCCAGTCCATCCGGCCCAGGGGTGACTTTCCAAGATGTTTTACAAGCCATTTATCTCTGCGGTATTTTTCTAACAGTTGGCGGCAACATTACTGCACACACTCACGGGTTTCGCATCCACACATGCCCCGAAACGTCTGCTTCCCTGAATGCATTTGTTATTTATGAGGTACTCAACGGGGCTTCCAACGGCCGGAGCGGGGTAAAGGATCCCCGTGGCAAGACGCAGCAGGGTGAGAAGAAAACACCGTTGCACAGACTCTGAACTTGCAGAGAATCATTGCAAAAATCTCCGAGAACAAGCAACGGACTTGCTGCTCCGCAGATGCGGGCGATTTTGGGTAACCCCGACGGCCGGCAGAAAGCTCATTTCTTGCCGTGCCACAAAAGCGCGGTCCCCGCAGGCAAGCCCCCCGCCCGCCAAGGGAGGCTAACGCGCCTCCGTGGGCACCGGTTTCGCCCGG